TTGGGTTCAAACCCCCATGGAGGCATGTTTTGGAAAAAATCAGCAAAAAAAAAACTGTGCGGACCGGTCCGACCGTCCGGTTCTTACCGGTTCAGGCCGGTTCGAAGCAGGTTACGGTCCAATGGGCCGGGCCGGTCCGGTTTTTAAAACTATGGATTCAGCACGTTACTCCCTGATTGGGACTAATTTGGTCCCAGTCGGGGTACACTTTTTGGTACAACTTTCTCCGAATTGAAATCCGTTTGTACCGTTACGATCAGACAGTCGAACTCTATCCAACGATATAATTTTTATATTTGTGTGTAATACTTTTTCCGACATCATATTTTTGGGTGTTTGACTTTGACAGAGTCAAAATTGATTTAATTGACCTTTATTCAAAAAGTTTCTCACATTTAATTCATATTATGTATTCTCATTATTTGTTTTAATAAATCATTTGAAAGTTAACATCATAAACAAATTCTTTATTTATTCTTGTTTTGGGTCTGTACTTGTAACACCCTAATCCGTCCAGCCATGCAGCCCCTTTCGGACTAAAGTATTAACTTGGTAATCGTAAACATTCAAAAACATTTCAAACAATTTAACTTTATTTCATAATAAATAATTCCGAATAATAACAGAGTATTTTTAAAAGTTGCGGAAGCGAATTAATTCATAAAATACAAATTAGAATAATTCATGTCTTTTCAACAGTAATTTGTTTCACACATCCTTTTTGACCTTCTCGCCCCATCTGCCACCAGGAATATTCCAATCATTCATTCTGTCTATCTACGTGTATCAAATAAAACACATTACACGCTCAACGATAAAGTTGAGTAAGCATATCTAAAGAGTCGAACATCCATATTAATTGAATCTCAATTCATAATTAAATCATTTGATATTATGGACATAACATTCATCAATATTCATTATTCAATATCCAACATGCATATTCAACAATATCCTTAAACTATTTCTAGTCTAAGGCCAATCACTTTTATTATTTACCAACTTTTAAACTAATTCTAGTTTAAGGTACTTCTAACCAACACTTAAGCTAGGTCATAATTCAAGGTAAATATATTTTCCAAAAGATTTTCCAACTCTTAAACTAGCCTTCGCTTAAGGTACAATCTAGAAAACCGAACTGCAGAATATTAACTGTCGGGTTGGGTGGTATCTCAAAATGAGTGATCCTCAAGTTTGGTTTATGGACCCCGTACGTACATTTTTACCCAAGGCCACCGAATATACATATTTATACCCGCAAGGCCCATTCTAATTTGAAGTCTATCTTAGAGGTCTTCTAGATAGCCTTAACAATACAATTCATTTTTCATCAATCCATTTATCTTGAATCTTTGTTCAATAATTCATAATCGCCATTTCATTCAGAATAATCATCATCATTAATCCATGATATTCATCAAAATCATCAATCAATCATCATAATATCCAATATCAATTAGCGGTCTAGCGTTGAGTGTTAATACCCTAGCTTACCATCGTGCATCACGTAAGGTCCTTTTAGTTGTCAAAACACCATTTTTATTCCAATAAATCATCTTTATATTAATCATAATTGATTGGTATCAAAAATGGGATTTTTGGGCTCAAAAATAACATTTTCAGAAGTATTTTCGAAGTAAACAGGTCGGGGGATCGATCCAGCACTTTGGATCGATCCTCCGTAGAAAAACTACTTCATGTGATCGATCTAGTGGGGTGGATCAATCCACCTTGCTGGTTTTAGATCACAGTTCATCGTCTTCTTCGTTTCGGGTCCAATTTTGAAAATATCATTTTTAGTTACCGAACTTCAATTAAACTATATAGAAATGTTCTCCAAGGTTCATAGATCATTTTGGATCATTAATTCATAGTTTTAACATCAAATTCAAGGTTCATGATTCATAGTTCTTCAAGTATATCAAACACAAACTCAGCCAAATGACCATTTATGAACGTAGAAATGACTTATATATGAACATTCTAGTCATTAGATAAATCTACTGGCTTACCTCGAAGCTTAGCGGAGGTTTTGGAAAATTTCCAGTGAAACTTCCAGTTACGATAACTCTCTGCTCCGGCGACCTCACACATGAATGACAACACCACTGCACTCTTCTCTCAGAAAGGAACAAGATAGAAGGAGAAATGAATTGTTTTGGTGAAGAATTGAAGGAGTTTTCTGTTATTCGTTTTAGACGTTGTGCCTACGCCTTAGAGGGGGGGGGGGTGAATAAGGCGTTTGAAAACTTTTCGGAGTTTAACAAAAACGGTGTTGGCAAATGCGGAAGCAATATATAAAATGCAGAAATAAAAGCGTAAATAAAATGCACACCGATTTTATACTGGTTCGGAAACTCTCTACTCCAGTACCTCGAGGCTCCTCCTCAAGGATTTCCGAATCCACTAAGTCCCGGTCTCTTGAACTCCGTCAAAGCACCGCACTAGTTTGGCAAACAACCCTTGCAAATAGGATTCACTCCGAGATTTTACCACGGCTATCTCGAACCGTTTACAATGAAGATTTAACGGCTATCTTCTACCGTTCCCCCAAGGATTTCAAAGGCTATCCTTGAACCTCTACCCAAGGATTTATACGGCTATCCTTAACCGTTACAACGTGAGAATTTAACGGCTATTCTCGACCATAAGAAGGTGTGTTTGAAGAACACAAACAAAGGTTCTACACAACGGCTTGAATAAAAAAATGAAGAACAAAACTTAGCCGGTGTAGAACGAAATTATACCCTCTCAAAAATACAATACAAACTTATGAATATGAGAGTATATAACTAGAAACACAAGCTCAAAGTGTGTGTATAAAAATCAGGAATTTAAGGCTCTTAAAATAGCCAAAATATTGAAAATAATTAATAAAAGAATGAACACACTTAGAATATAAAGAGAAGATGTTTAGAGCTTTGTTTCTTGAAGAAATATGAAAGATTAGGCTTGTATTTATAGCGGAAAAGGTTAATTAGCCGTTGGGAGGTGATTAGGATTGATTAAAGTCAAAATCACAAATCAGGAATAGTAAAACAACGGTCACGGTAGGGGGGTCCCGTCCAGTCGGTAGGGGGGTCCCGTCCAGACGGTAGGGGGGTCCCGTGCTTACGGTAGCTAGGTACCTTCTCAGGCCAAAACTCTCTGGCGGTACCTATCCTCTTACGGTACCCCTTACGGTAGGGGGGTTCCATCCAGACAGTAGGGGGGTCCCGTGTGTACGGTACCTAGGTACCTTATGACCATTTTGACAATTTTTTCATTTTTGTCCAAATCGTTTCTAATTTTATTTAAAACCTTTTGGATGTTTGAAAATGATTATAAAAGGGTTTTAAACATATTTTGTGAGTGTTTTTGAGCTTGTGAATATAGGTATATAAAATCATATCCTTACATTGGTTTCTACCTATATTCTACGCTAGTTTGGTGTTTCAACTTCATTCTTGAGTATCGAATCTTAATGGATTCTTGTTGTACCTGAAACACTTAAACAAACGTCAAGCTCTTATATTGTTTGTTAACATCAAAACATGAGGCTTAGCAAACCAAGGCTAACATTTTCTCTCCTTATATAGCGAAGTGAAGAAGGAAGAAGACACTGGTTTGCTGCTTCTGTGATTGTGCGGTGATTTGAAAGCGGCGTAATTCAACAAGGCACCGTTTGGTGTGTAGTCCCTTATTGGGACTAATTTTTGGTCCCAATCAGGGTACATTTTTTTTGTCCAACTTTCTCCGAATTGAAATCCGATTGAATCGTTGGGGTCAGACAATCAAACTCTACACAACGATATAATTCTCATTATTTATTGACAAACTTTATACATCTCTTATTTTTGGGTCCTTCTCAGTAATTAATTAATTAATTATCAATTAATTAATTCTGATAGACCTATTTTTGAGCGTTACATTTCTCTCCCCTTTAAAAATAATTTCGTCCTCGAAATTATGTGAGTCATTTATTGAAGAGATTTGGATATTGCATCCTCATTGACTCTTTGGCTTCCCATGTTGCCTCTTCACTCGAATGGTTCCTCCATAGTATATTGACTAGAGGGACGGATTTGTTTCTTAATTGCTTGGTTTCTCGCCAGAATTTGGACAGGTTCTTCTTCATAGGTCAAGCGTTCATCGAGGGTTACAGTTCCATCGGTCAAGATGTGCGTTGGATCAGATCGGTATCTTTTCAACATTGATACATGGAATACGTCGTGAATTTTGTTCAGTTCGGGCGGAAGTTCTAACTGGTAGGCTACGGAACCCACGCGCTCAGTGTGGTCCAATATACCTTAGACTTGGTTTTCCCTTCATACCAAACTGTAACACCTTCTTTCAAGGCGATACTTTTAAAAACACCTTTTCATCCACGTTATATTCAATCTCACGACGTTTCAAGTTGGCATAAGATTTATGTCGATCAGAAGCCACTTGTAGTCTTTCTCTGATCAGACGAACCTTTTCTTCAGTTTCTCGACAAGATCGGGTCCTTCAAGTTTTTGCTCACTTAATTCTGTCTAGCATACTGGGGTTCTACAACGTCTCCCATACAAGGATTTGTACGGAGCCATTTCGATACTCGCTTGATAACCGTTGTTATAAGCAAACTCCATTAATGGTAGGTATTCTTCCTAGTTACTTCCAAAATGGATCACACATGCCCTCATCATGTCTTCTAGAATCTTTATTTATGGACAGAAAAAAACAAATTATGAGTTAGGTCGGGTCAGGTTCAGGCAATCATGTATAAAGTTGGGATGGGAATGGGTATCCAAATATTGAGTTGGATTGGGATCTGGTATGGCAAATCCAACTTAATGGGTACCCAAATATTGAGATGGATTGGGATCTGGTACGGCGAATCCAACTTGAACTCGACCCGTTGTCATCCCTATGTTCAATTCATCAAACACAGTTCAGACCTGAAAGGTCCATCCAAATCATGTGTCTCCATCAAAGATTACAAGTTCACAGCACAATTAATTGGTGAAAAAGCACCCGCGGAGGAACTTGTATTTATATTCACAATGTTTATAGTATCCATAGAGCTAAAATTATGCAGTGACAAACTGAGCTCACGTTCATCATTTCGTGCAATATTGTGTGTAAACTGTATTGGAAAAATGGAAAGACTTGAGACTGAGAGATCCTTTTGAGGGATCAGCTGCAGTCACTCTAGGGAAAGGAAAAAAAAAGAGAATGGAAAGGAGCAAAAAGAAAAGAATGAATTCAACCCGAAAAGATTCCTTGAAGTTGAAGGCGTGTGGGACCGGCTACCGAGTATTCACAACACAAGGGATAGTTACCCTCCAAACGTAGGTGTGTCTAAATCTCCACAGGACGCCGAGTTGAGGATGCTTGGATATCTATGTTCCTTGCCACATGCCTTCTCTTCCTAGAAGTGCGTTTTCTAGATCGTGGTTTTGTAGGACGCCGTTTTTCAGTGGTCTCTTGGGTGCTAATTAACTTTTCAGCAGTGTGCAGTTCAGGGGCAGCATTTGGCCACGGTGTGCGTTTTTCTGGGACAGTAACATCTAAAGGAGGGTTGATCATCCATCTGCATTTAAGAAAGTATATAAATGAGTGTTATCAAAAGTAAACTTAAAAAAACTGCCAATATCACTGTCTAAACATTGAACTTTTGAAAACTGGTGGATCACGGGAACAAGAATATGTAATGGTCAGGAACATAATGTGATCCTAAGTTAGAATAGATGTTAAGGACAATATTTTATGTCGGACTAGATATATTTGTTCACCGATGTTAGAATATAAAAAGTCTTTTTTGGGCTTACAACCACAAGCTTGAGCTTTTGGTTGAGTTGGTTCTTTGACAATGGGCAGCAAGAATGGTTTAAAAATTGCAGCGCCTGAAACACCATAAATCAACAGGTTTTTAACTCATAGGCCAATCCGTCATTAGTCCAATTCATCAGCTTGAAAAGGATCTCTTGGCATTTGTTTGCTTAGGAACAAGAAAAAAGGTAGACATAATTGTAGACTTTTCTTGTTTGAATTAGGAGAGATACTTTGCACTAGTTTTTTTTACTCCTTCACGGAGAGACACGCATTCCATCTCAATTTCTTGTAAAAGTCCTCTCTATAAATACTGTATTAACCATTCTTGAGCAATAATGTTATTATATCATGAACTTATCAAGAGCTACGGGTTTTTGCTTTAAAAAAAAAAAGAGTTACAGGTTTCTTTATACCCTAACCCTCCCACAATGTCTGCCTCTTCTCAGCATGGCCACCACAATTCTCTTGGGAGCGAGAAATGTACGTGTTGTCCTCCACTTGTCCTGTGTCATCTTCATTTGACAATCCCCAGTCGTGGCGAATGCTGCCAAGGTCAACCCCCATAAATGACACTCCAGACTTGATCATCCATCTCCTGAAATTACTTGGCCTCTTTTGTCTCAACTAGTTTTAGTTTAATTCTGATTTTTTTCACTTTGACTCATGTTCTATGTCTAAGTCACATCATTTATTGCACTCTTATATTGTTGCTACAACTCCTTTTCAATTAGTTCATTATAATATTTGGGGACCAACTTATGTACCCTCCTTCTGAGTTGCACTGGGACAGGTTTGGGTGCAGATAAGGGGATACAGACAAACCACGTTATTTTAAAAAATTACAGGATGCGGGTACGGCAAGGACACAATGTTAAATATAATTAGTACTATACTTATTGTTGTTGTTGTTGTTATTATTATTATTATTATTATTATTATTATTATATTTAATACTCTGTATATGGCAGTTACCCTATATAACTAGGCTTTCTAACTTATCCTAATTATCTATATTGTATTCCTACTTCTCTTAAAATTCTTGACTATAAATAGTCTTATAATCCACCATTTTCAATTAAATGAGAATTAATCAAATAAATCATTTTTTATTTCTTTCTTCACACAGAAAATAATAATAGTAATAATAATAATAATAATAATAATAATAGTAATAATAATAATAATAATTGAATACCAAAAATAGAATTCTAAATGTAATAAATAGTGCTTAATTAACACATAACAATCTAATGGCATGTTGCATATGACAAAATGGTTAATAACATGTGAGAGATCTAAACATCATCACATTTACAGATCCACTTTCTAAGAGATTAAAATTTCTAGGATTAGGGAGCAATTGATTCTAGAACTTTTCAACTTAAACCGAGAGAAATGGTGCTCAGAGATTAATCCTTTTCTCGAGGCAAATTTTTTAAATCGACAAATCAGTTATGAATCTATTTAATAGTTAGTACTCCCTCCATCTCGAAAAGAACTTAACACTTCCCTTTTTGGGATTTCCAAAAATTAGCTTTCCCTTTTTCTCATTTCCATTACACTAAGTTTGGTTTGAGAAATTAGGACGAAAAAGAAAATGCTAAGGAAAAGAAAGTCAAAGAAACCAAAATTTCTAGTTTCTTTTGCTTAGCTTAGTAAGAAAATTGGTAAGAATGTTACTTTTTGATAATTCTTTTTTTTGGTGTTACAGATAAAAATGAAAAAAGACATGTTTGAGTGGGTGATGAAGGGCGGGTGGGTGGGGGGAAGTGGCAAGGTGTTGGGGGGGATGAAGGAGTTTGTTGTTTCTCTCCTTTCCTCACAAAAACGGAACGAAAATCACCTATACGTTTTTACTTTACATTCTCCTCACTTTTTCTTTTCCTACCAAATCTCTTTTCTTATCTAACTGAACACCAAATCGCTCTATCCTACCAATTTCTTTTCCCTTCTAAATTCCATGAACCAAATGGAGTTTTATGAAAAACGAATATGTAGTTTAAAGAATTTCTATCTCTTCTATGCACATTCTAATCACACCTCACTTTTCAAAACTTCTTAAACTATGTGAAGTCAAATCAAGAAGATCTTTGCATGACGGACAGATGGAATAAGGGGCAACTTAATACTCTCTCCGTCTCCAAATGAATTTGACATGCAGAAAAAAATGTGTGGCTAAAATTACATTCGATTCATTATATTTAAGTGTTGGTGTAAGATAAAAAACAAAATTTATATACGACTATACGAGTACTTCAAAACTACATTAAAAGTTCAACAAAATAAGAAGTAGTTTGACTATCCTATTTTAACAAATGATCAGTGAATATGTAAGGAAAGAAGATATAGTAATTCTAATAGTAACTATAAATATCATTTGGAGATGGATGGAGTACGTTTTACACTAAGAGAGAGAGAATAAAGAATAATATGTTGAAACACCGCTCATTTATGTTCACTTAAACCATTCGTAGCATTGTCATAGCTTGTGATCAAGTAAATCTTGAGACTGATACTTCATGTAATTTGTTTCCTGTGTTTCTTTGTTCTTGTTCTCGTATTCTTCGTGATGCGTTGTTTTCATTCCATGGAGCATAACTTTTGATTAGTTGCATTTATTTACTCTTTTAGAACAAGCTTTACAAATCATCCGTGTGGATACAACAAAGTCAAACTTATCAATATATACATCTAATTTCCCACTCTTTTCATATCATTGTTTGATAGAAGTTTTACACGTAAGAACTAACACAGACAAACAGACTTCATATGGACAAAACAACTTTATCATGATTGGAATGATAATCATTATACAACTTAATATAGTGTTTTCCGTGAATATACATAACATTAACTATCTTCTTCAAAATTCAATGAGATTAGAAAGTTCATGTCAAATATTGCAAAACTTAATGTAGTTTGTGTCAATGACAGTGTGGCTAGTGGCCACTACCCTCACCTACTCTAATTACTGTTTAATATACTTTGTTAAAGTGGCGGAGATGGTCATAGTGATGTTGGTGTATTCACTCCATTAGTGCATGTTTGGAGTTCTTGGATGACCACCAAAACATTGTTATATTGGAATATAAGAGCATTCATATTGACTCGACATTTTGTGGTAGGGATTGGTGCATGTTTTTTTGCCGACGACATTGTATTAATTGATGGAACTCGTGAGGAACTCAATGATAAGTTGGAAGTGTGGCAACTCAATCAGCAGGACTAAGACTGAGTACAAGGAATGTTGTTTCAATAGCCAGGCAAATGAGCTGGGAGTGGATGTAAGGATCACGTCCAATGCCAAAAAGAGACTAGTTTCGGTACCTTGGTTCGATGATCTAAGAATATGGGGATGTCGTTTACCGTATTGAAGCCGCATGGGCTAACTGGAGGCATGCTTTAGGTGTCCTTTGCGATAAGAAGATACGCCTTACTCGAAAGGAAGTTTTATTGGACACCGGTAAGACCGGCTACATTTTACTGGGTAAAGTGTTAGGTGATAAAGAAAACACATGTGCATAAGCTTCAAGTAGCAGAAATGAGGATAGTGAGGTGGATGTGTTGTCATACAACAATGGATAAGATCCAAAACAAGGTTATTCGGGATAGAGTTGGACCGTGGGAGGGGTATGTGTGTAGGATAACTTGCAAGAAACCAAATTGAGGTGGTTTGGGCATATTAGGAGGAGTGCAGAGGCCATGTTAGGAGATGCAAGATGCTTGGGTAGAGAGCGTGAGAAGGGGTAGAGGTAGACCTAGAAGAGTTGGAAGGAGGTGAAAACACAAGATTTACGTGTTCCAACTTCAGGATCTGACCAAAGATATGGCCTTAAATTAGAGCACCTAGAGATCTAGGATTATTGTCGTTGGGTAGACCTGTAAGCCTTAGTCTGTAGTTTATGCTGGGTTATTTTAATGTCTTAGCCTGTACATGGTATTTGAGTACTTCCAGTGCTTTTTGTCTATTTATTAGAGTTTGTTTTTACGCTTCTTTTGTCTATGTTTGTACTTCGTCCATGTTACGATGGCTTCTTTGTTCGTACTTTTGTTTTTGAGCCGAGGGTCTCTTGAAATTACAACCTAGTATGGGTAAGGTGTAAGGTCTATGCACACAAAACTTACCCAAACCCTCCTTTTTGTGTAATCCTACTGGGTATTTGCAGGAATTTACTACTCTATTCTCTTTCTTTGAGCTGAAGGCTCTCGGAAACCGCCTCTCTACCTTTTAGGTTAAGGTAATGCCCATGTACACCTTTTCGGGTACGGCATCCTCTTGTTTTGTTGTATTGGGAACCGTAAAAATACAACTAAACACATCCTTTAAGAGGTTGGTTATCATTTTTCGGCATGTTCCAACCATAAAATAGTTCAATATTTCAATACAGGCACACTTAATTTATTGTTATCTGCATATCACCACCAACCCACTGCAAATTGTCTTGTTGCTAAGGTAGAACTTTTTCTCAGTACATATGTGAGGATTTAGTAAAAAATAAGAAGTATATGATATAAAAAGGTGAAATTTGCATGGAATAGGACTAAAAACATAAGTCATTTCCCAATGTAAGACTTAAACTTTTTTATTCCCTAAATAGGACTTAATAATGACTAGTGAGAAGAATAATGTCTAAGTGATGCACGACATTTAGTTGAATAATGACTAATAGATAATGACCAATGGTCCTACATTGGGAAATAAAAACATACAGTCCTATATTGAGAAAGTCAATATGTTTTAGTCCTATTTAGATAAATTACCCTATAAAAAGCACTTTTATTAAGTGATTTGGATTAACAGGCTAAATTTGTTGGATTATCTAAATTTTATTTTTTTTAATTAATGAAATAATATTTAAAAAGAAGGTTGTAGTTACATTTTCATTGATTTCAACAATTTTAGCAAAAATAAAGCTTTTGCACTAACCTTTTTGCATTAATAATAGTGAAATAAATTAATTTGGTCAAAAATATGGTGGATAGGGGGAAAATGCCTACCAAAGAGACACTAAGAATAGCCAGAAGTTAATTACTTGATAAGAAATCTTACCTCGCAGGGAATCTGCTGTCAGCCCTTGCCTCAACACGAAGCCACCATAGCATAACCTTGCGCCCACAATTCCCAAGAGGTTCCACCACTGAAGAATCCCTTAACAAAGATAGAGGACTGCCAATATCTTCTCCAGCGCTAACTACATCATCTAAATCCTTAATCCAGTCCGGCTTTTCTTCAGCATCCTTCCAGACTAATCTGGAGCTCAACACAAAACCAGCCCATTCAAATTTCCTCGGCAACACAACAGCCCTGTCTCCGACATACCTAGCGGTCTTCCCTGTGTAAGGTGTTGCGTCAAAGGTATTCCAACCGACCATATGGTTTGAAGAATTGCAAGCTGGACCTTGAACTGGCAGCTGCAAATACTTTTGATTGTTTCTTTGAACAGTTGATGACTCTTCATCTGAACTCTCCAAAAGAGCAAGAATACCAAATGAGATCGCACCAACCCATCTCACCTTTTGGATCTCATCGAACAACTCCAGACTGTGCATATTCCCATCATCTGCAAACATCACTATGCCATCTAGTTTTTCATCCCTCACATGTCTGCTCAAAGGTTTAGAAAAAAACCAACACCTACTCTATCAAAACAAATTCGAGTATTTACACAAGCATGAAACTTGAGCCTTGAACAACAACACCCCTAGTATAATCCCAACTACGTTGGTTTCGGGGGTCAAGATGTACACAACCTTACCTCTCTTTATAAACAAAGAGGTTGTTCTGTTACACCCTTAATGCATATTAGCATGTACTATCCAAAATTTCATCGAAAGTAAGCAACAATTGAAGTTTAATGTGTCATTTTGTTAGGGAATGCATTAGGGTTTGTTGTTAACGGGCTCATTCTTGTTGGGCTCGTAATTAGGTCATAGTCTCGCAGCTATTATAAATAGCAGATCTATTTGTAATCAAATCATTCAAGTTTAGTTCTAATAATATTTCTACACATTTTGATTTAATTAATCGTCCATTATTTAGGAGAGGCTAAAACCTTGTCAAAAACATTTCTTTTAGCCCAATCGGCAATGACCATGAAGACGAATAAAAGGTTTGATTTTGCATACCTCAAGGCGTGAACTCTCATTTTCGACTCCAAGTTGTGGCGGCCTTTCCAAAGTAAAGGCATCTTCTCCCGGAATTCAAGGTGGACAGTCCTGAGTCCCGACTTGGCTAACAGTGAGGCAGTCTCGTTTGAGCTCCCACCAGCTTCAACAACAATCCAGACCACATTGTATGGGACATTCATCAGGGAATGCATCACTCCGGTAAGGTGCAAAGTCTGGAAGGTTCGCACATAAGTGGGAGTTATGGCAATCACAGTTTTGGGGCTCTTAATGCCATATTGAAGCATCTGTTCCTTCTGAACAATATCAATTATCTTGTGAGCCTGCATCACCTCAGTCGAATTCGGGTGAGGCCATGGCCGTATCAAGATCCCATGCCGCCCAACCACCACTCGACTACCCGCAACTGCCATCGTCCCATTAGAGGAAATACGACGGTGCAAAGCCTCCTTGACAGAGAGGGATGCTCCTTCGGAATCATGGAAGGGAAGAGCGTATAGGTTATCACCGATGGTGGAAGAGTTGGACAAAGAGAGGAAGAACAAGGAACGGGAGAATCGGAATCCGAGGACAAGACTGATCAGACAGCAGAGACAGTGAAGCAAGAGCCAAAGTACCGTCGCCGGCGATTTCCCGTCGGACGACGAATCCAGCGGCAAAGCTCCCCTGAAGCTGTTGCTCCTCCGGCCCAGCTTCGTCATTTCCCCTCCGCCAGTAGTTGAAATGGATGATCGAGAGAAACGGGTCAAACTGGAGCTTATTTGTGATGATTCAGAAGAAGAAGATGAAGACAGTTGTAGAATGTTTGGTAAGATTTGGAGGGATATACACACACCGATGGCTTCGGCTTCTTCACGCCATGATCGAGCAGCAGATATCGGGCACCAGATTATACGGATAATGATTTGGAAACGACCCGATTTTTTAGTGGGGTTTTCGGACAGGAAGGGCGGAGGGTTTGCAGCTTCGAAGCAGGAGAAAATCTAGGGCCTTTAACATTAGGGGGCAGTTTGGTTATTTCAATGTTTATAGAGTAAAATTTTAGAAATGGTCCTTTGTAATAATTTGTACGGAGTAATAAGATATTTTCCTAATTTAGTACTCAATAAGTTCTAATTACTTACGTAGTCCTTTATAATTGAGATTCATTTCTCAAGTAGTCTTTCGTAAATGGTGTTACTTAAATATGATTAATTAAAAAGTATTTTGGTATTTCTATCATTTAAATTTAAAGCATATTATCTGAATAATAATTTGTATACATTTAAATGTAAATTTAAAAAAATACATTGACTATACATAATCTATGAATTATTAAAAACCTATAAAAATATCTTTTAAAATTCGAATCAAATATACATCTTTAATTAGAAAAAATATGTTGGAAAAGTATTTTATTAGAAATGATCATTTTACGAACTTATTCTAAATTTAACTAATAAAGAATACCAAAAAACCCCACAATTAATCATCAAGTGAAAAAACATCATTTGCATGTAATATTTTTTGCGGATTAAAGAAAATAAATTTCTTACATGGTTTTTGATACTATACATCAACGTCAAAGTAAAATAAATAATATTTGAAGCATTAAAAGTGTACAGAACAAAGACTTATTAAAATATAATTTTTTTTAAAGACTTCAATATATACAACATTTTTAATCATGTGTTTGTCTTTACTCGTGAAGCAACAACATAAAATTGACCATAAGTGAATACTGACTTAGTTAAAGTAATCTAACAAAAGATAATGTTTCACCTTAACTTTTGTTAATAGTCATAACAAAACATAAAACTATTGAGAATTGTCTTTTTTAAAACTTTAGGGGGTAGACTTGGATCATATAGTACCAAATTTATTCAAGGTATGTAAACCTTTTCCCTGTCTTGATTTCGTAGCTCTTCAACAATTAATCTTGTACCATTACACAATCCAAATAACATAATCAGTACCCTTTTTTCAAAACAATTTTTTGGTTCTGGATCCCCGAACATTCGAACATTTGATTTCATTCAAAAATTCTAATGTTATCGAATCAACATCAACACCTACATTGGCATCTGCTTGCCATTAAGAATCATAACTCAAATACTCCTTTTTCATCACCGGAAAGGAAAAATAGGACAAACTCATTTACTATTTCAACAACTTCGAGAGTGGGTGCTAATAGTGCCCTATCCTAAAAAGAATATTTTTTTCATATTCTCCAATAAGTTCAGATAAGCGAATTCCAGTACTATACTCTTGAGAGGATAACTTATGTCAAGAATCAAGAATCCGGGCGGAATTTCAACGTCAGCAATTCCATCAATCACTTGACTAAGCTTTCCATCTCCAATTTTATTATCCAATCAAAAAAAGCTTGTGTATCCCTATATGCGTAAGAGGACATAGATGATGCAATAAATATTCTTGGTCAACTTAAAAACTATACAATTCAACCATAATTTCAAGGAATTCACGGTAGCACCTACAATTTCTTCTCTAGAAGCTCTGGTAAAATTGGAAGGATCTGGCAAAAATCACTTCCAATTCCGAGTACTAATATTTTCCCTCCGAATGGTTCATTTCTAGAGTTATTATCATAGAGCCTCATTATATCTCTCAATGTGTGATCCAATGCCTAAAAAAATCTATTCATCACACATGCTTCATCTCATATGATTCTACTTGCTTGTTAGATTAATTCTGCTTTCGGACCCCCTTGTTTGATAGCACACGTTGAGCACTCAGTTAAAGCCAACGACATTGAGAATATCGAGTGTGCTGTCCTTCCACCAAGCTAAAGCAATGCTGCAATGCCACTGGATGCAACATTCAAATTAAAACAACCCTACATACCATTCGATCTTGAGAAGTAGACATTGGTTTCTATATAAATTTTTTTCCAAGTATCCCGTAACCATATACAAAAAAGAAACCTCCTCTTTCAGATATCAGACTTCCATTATCACATAAGATATCTATCTTTGATTTTCATTCATCGTGGATAAATATCCTCTAAAATCAGATGACAATTTTTCTTTGTCATAGTTCAAGTTCTCAATCAAGATTTTATTTTGAAATCTATTAAGTAGACTATCATTTGGAAATGACATACCACTGAACTCCTTTAAGAATGTATAAATTTGATATTATTTTCAAACTTTTCCTTTACTTTATACTACCTCCGTCCCAGAGTATTTGTCCACTTTCATTTTTACACACCATCCAATACACTTCTTTAATCCATTTTATCTTGTAATTTGTATATTAAAAAATTATAGAAATTATATATTAATAATCTATATGTTAAGACAAATCAAACAAGATTACACATGACTATATTTAGGCTTACGCATTGAGAGAATTTGATGAGTCAAAGTGCTTAGATGAACAGTTCTAAAAGTCAAAACTAGACGAATACTCCGGGACGGAGGGAGTAATAAGTTAAGGTATGATGTGTAGGATACATGATTTTAGGGTGCACCTTTTTTCTAATTTGAAAAGTTTTATGGGATGCCTTTTTTTGCATTTAAAATGTTTTATGGGACGGATATAGTATAATTTTCTTCAAATAATTAAGATTATTTATTTATATTAGATTTCCCAAAAAACAATTTACTTAAGTAGCCAACATTGCGTATGCATTTTTTTCAAAAATATCTTCAATAATTCTAAAATTAATCCCTTTTACATTTTTTGATAATACAATTATATCAATTATTTTCATTACGTTGGTTTAACGCATTGAAAATCTTATTTCAATCTATGAACTTCGTTTTAAATATATTAATGATTCTCGACAAATTCTATGGTGGACTTAAGGTCTACCATGGACTTACATATGAGCAAAATAAGTATTTCATTATTACTTAAATAAGAATTTGTTTTTATAAATAAAAAAATTAAAAATATATATTTTTTTTTATGTGAAAAGGTCCAAAAAAATGATATGGACTCAAGCTGCACCAAAGAAGCACTCATGATTCTCTCTCTATCGAACATTATGATTAAGTCATTACGGTTATTATGGATAAGAACCCGCCAGAAGAAGTTCCGGTGTGAGATGTATAATCGTCTGTCAGACTCACTACTCCATGGGGACATTGATGCTTCGGCCACAGGTAAGAGAGTAGTTCTCCCGTCAACGTTTGTTGGTGGTGCACGTTACATGATACAGAACTATCAAGATGTTATGGCAATATGTCGATGGGCTGGCTATTCTGATTTATTCTTAACTTTTACATGCAATCCAAAGTGGCCAGAAATCACTCGATTTCTTGAAAAAAGAAATCTAAGTCCTCAAGATCGTCCGGATATATGTTGCAGAGTTTTCCATATGAAATTAAATATGCTCATTAAAGAACTGCACAAGCAACAACTTTTTGGAATAGTTCGTGCAGGTACTACACACTAACTTCATTTTTCCTATTTAAAATGAACACTTGCACACGTGGGATTAATTTAACGCTTAAAAATTATTTTTGAATGCAGTTGTTTATACCATTGAGTTTCAGAAGCGAGAACTACCGCATGCGCATATATTATTATTCTTGGGCCAACAGAGCAAAAATCCAACTCCTCAAGTTATTGACAAAATGATTTCTGCTAGCCTGATAAAGATTTGGATCCTAAGTATTTTCAAGCAGTCTCTGATTTTATGGTTCATGGACCTTGCGGATCGTTTGCAGCAGGCGCCCCTTGCATGGACAATGGTAAATGCACCAGACATTTTCCAAAAGAATTCAATAATGATACCATCATTGATGACAATGGATATGCAAGGTACAGAAGACGTAACGATGGACAAACGATTGAAAAAAATGGTGTTATTTTGGACAATTGTTTTGTCGTACCACATAACAGGTACTTACTCATGAAATATGGAGCGCATCTAAATGTCGAATGGTGTAACCAAACACATTCCATCAAGTATTTGTTTAAGTATGTCAACAAAGGTCATGATCGAGTTACTGCTGTTTTTAATGAAAACTCCAAGAATTCTATGGATTTAGCAATAGATGAGACAAACGAAATCAAACTCTACTATGATTGTAGATATATTTGTCCATGTGAAGCTATGTGGAGAATCTTTGGATATGAGTTGCAGTATAAAAATCCGACTGTTGAGCGCTTGAGCTTTCACTTGCCAAATGAACAAATGATATTTTTTGAAGACGATGATAATGCCTCTGAAGTTGTCCGACGAGAAAGCATTAAAGAGAGTAAATTTCTGGCATGGATGACTGCAAATAAAACTTATCCCAATGCACGAGCTCTAACATATGGTGAATTTCCACAAAAATTTGTTTGGAAGTCAAATAAGAGACAATATGAACCTCGAAAGAGAGCTTTTGCGATAGGACGCTTGAGTTATGTTCCTCCAGGTACAGGTGAATCGTACTACTTGAGATGTCTTCTAAACATAGTGTGTGGCGCTACCTGCTACGATGATATCAAAACTGTAAATGGCATTGTTCATGAATCATATCGTGATGCATGTTATGCATTGGGATTGCTTGACGATGATAGAGAATATCTGGACGCATTTGTGGAGGCAAGTCACTGGGCTTCTGCTGCGCAGCTAAGGAATTTATTTGCAACACTATTGACAACGGAATCAATGTCCAGACCAAGGCATGTGTGGGAGCAATGTTGGCAGTATATGGGAGATGATGTTTTGTACCGGCAACGTCGTTTGTTGGATCATGAAGGTAATTTTTTCTAATATTATAATGATTTCAAATAAAAACAATATGACTAACACTTTATAAATTTTAATTAGGTCTAATTCTTACTGACGATGAGATTCAGAACCATATTTTATGTGATCTCGAAGACTTGCTGAGGAGTCGTGGTAAGAGCCTTCGCGATTACACAGATATGCCTCAAGCAAACCTCCAGAGAATTTGGACTTCAGCCAATCGATTGATTTTTGATGAAATGCAATACGATCGAATAGCATTGGCAAGCGAGCACACCAGACTATTGCGTTCAGTGAACGATGAACAACGTGCAGCGTATGATGCAGTAATGCAATCTGTTCAAACAAATGTTGGCAAAGTTTTCTTTCTGTACGGATATGGAGGCACTGGCAAGACATATGTCTCAAGAACATTATCAGCTGCAATACGATGTCGAGGTGATATAGTACTGAATGTTGCGTCAAGTGGAATAGCATCGTTATTGTTGCCAGGTGGTAGAACGGCTCACTCGCGTTTTAAACTCCCATTGATTCCAGATGAAAACTCTACTTGCAACAAAAAGCAAGGGTCTCCGCTAGCACAACTCTTGGTGAAAGCGAAATTAATCATTTGGGATGAAGCCCCTATGACACACAAGTATTTCTTCGAAGCTTTGGATAGAAGTTTGCGCGATATTTTACGCTTTTCTAATCCAATGAGTGAACAACAAACTTTCGGAGGAAAAACAATTGTCTTTGGTGGAGATTTTCATCAAATTTTACCAGTTATTCCAAAAGGAATGAGACAGGACATCGTTAACTCAACGATTAATTCTTCATACATTTGGGAAGACTGCACTGTGTTGCGTTTGACGAAAAACATGCGGCTGCAATCAATGATTCATGATAGTGGTTACGATCAATCATTTGAATTCAGCAAATGGATTCAGAGTATTGGTGACGGGAACGCAGGTGATGAACATGACGGCTATGCTAAGGTGATAATTCCTGATGACATGTTACTTCCGTCTTCTGAAGATCCAATAGCCACTATAGTGAATTCAACTTATCCAGACTATCAAAAAATAGCCAATGAACTGAGCTACTTGCAGGAGCGCGCAATTTTGGCTCCTACATTGGATGTCGTCGATTCCATAAATGAATATATGATAGCGATGAATCCAAGCAGCGAGACTCGAACATACCTTAGTTCTGATAAAGTTGAGAACTCGGATTGCAGTTCAAGTTTTTTTAGTGACCGACACTCTCCCGAATTCTTAAATAAGATTCGTGCTTCAGGTGTACCGAATCATGAATTAACTCTGAAGGTAGGCACGCCTATTATGTTGTTGAGAAATATTGACCATTCAATGGGTTTATGTAATGGTACACGGTTGATAGTTACCCGATTGGCTAATCACTCAATACAAGGAAAAATATTATCAGGAAGCCACATGGGTGAAGAAGTTGTTATTCCAAGACTATCATTAACACCTTCCGATACAAGAATTCCTTTCAAGTTTCAAAGAAGACAATTCCCTGTGGTTACTTCGTACGCAATGACGATTAACAAGAGCCAGGGACAATCTCTGAAACATGTTGGACTACTGTTGCGGAAACCTGTGTTTAGTCATGGACAGCTCTATGTTGCAGTTTCAAGAGTAACTAATCATAGTGGATTGAAGATTCTGATATGTAATGAAGACAATACTCCCACAAACACTACAAATAATGTAGTCTATAAAGAAGTCTTTCGAAATTTGTAAAACATTGTATTACTGTACCTTAAAATAATATAATCTCTATATTCTATTGTATCTCATTTTTTATCATTAAAAAATGATCTGAATTTAATAACATAAAAATGACCCGTGCAACGCACGGGTGTGATACTAGTTACTTACGTAGTCCTTTATAATTGAGATTCATTTCTCAAGTAGTCTTTCGTAAATAATGTTACTCAAATATGATTAATTAAAAAGTATTTTGGTATTTCTATCATCTAAATTTAAAACATATTATCTAAATAATAATTTGTATACAATTAAATTTAAATTTAAAAAAATACATTGACTATACATAATCTATGAATTATTAAAAACCTATAAAAATATCTTTTAAAATTCGAATCAAATATACATCTTTAATTAGAAAAATATATTGGAAAAGTATTTCATTAGAAATGATCATTTTACAAACTTATTCTAAATTTAACTGATAAAGAATACCAAAAAAACCCCACAATTAATCATCAAGTGAAAAAACATCATTTACAAAAGACTATCTAGAAGATAAATCTCAATTATAGAGGATCACGTAGGTAATTAAAACTTATTGAGGTCTGATCTAGGAAAATACCTTATTAGACCTGGTTTTGTTTAGTTTAATACTCTGTATATCTAAATTCAACCCAACATAGTTTGGGCTCGGATTTGTTTGGGTGAGCAAGTACCGAATCGATCCCGAAATTTTTTGAAAAAATCAAGATTATCGAACCGAAAAAGATTGTAAAAGAACTGTATCGTACCGAACCGAATAGTTAGTCCGGTATTTGGGATCAGTACGAGGTAACTTCCCATATTGAAAAATCTCGAACCGAACATGTATACAGATATGTTATAAAA